AAATATTTATATATATATATTAACTATATTTTTACCATTTATATTCTATATAATAGGCCTCCGACTTCTACATTCAAACTTAGTTTTGTCTTCATTTACCACAAGTCCCATATGGTGACACAGGTTTCCGAAATTACCCAACACCGTTTGAACCTTTAAACCTTTGCCCTGAAACAAAATATAATCGGCATATATGATTGGAGTTACCCCATGTGAGTATCTCTCAGATGCTATCCTATTCATTAATTCATTAGTACATTAAACAGGGTGGGACTCAACACTCCTCCCTGAGGTGTGCAGAGTTCAAAAGACCTCACACCTGACATACAACCTTGATACCACACGTGAGCCTTCCTTTCGTGAAGATAATCCCTTATCCAGCGCAATAATCTCCCTTTAACACCAAGACCAGCTAATTCATATAAGATAACTTCTTTGTTAATTTTATCAAAGGCTCCTTGTAAACCACTAAAATTTCTATAGTAATCATGATCATTAGCTAGACGTATAATAATACAGTCAGATTATTTCGGGGATTTAGTGTCCCCGTGGCCCGGTCCTCGACCAGGCATCCACTCCCAGGAAGCAGCCCGTGACAGCTGACTAACTCCCAGGTACCTATTTACTGCTAGGTAACAGGGGCATCAGGGCATCAGTCAGAGGTACTTTTGCCTCTGAGGAACCCGAACAAATTACTACCCGCCAAACACACACCGAAACTACGACGTTGGTACAACGTTCGAACAAGTTTGAACACCTCCTAACCAGTTATAACAACCAATATAGCAAGTTGTAACAACGTTCTAATACGTCATAAACACGTTAAGCCAAGATGTAACAACATTATTACAAGTTGTAACAAACGGAAAATAGAGACAGTTACGGTTTGTGTTTCCAGGGTAGGCCGCTGCCCACCTATCATATATAAAAGTTTACTTAAAATTTGATTGATTGATAAAAATTAAGCCACCCAAGAGGTGGCACGGGCATGAATAGCCCGTATGTGGTGGCCCTTTTGAGCCATTATCAGTATCAAGAGCTGATACTGGAGATCTGTGGAGGTGCGACTGCACCCTGTGTGACGGGAGATGTCTCCCGTGACTTGAATTAGAGGGGGAGGTAGAAATAGCCTAAGTCACTCTATCCCTTTGAGATGTATTTTCTTGTCTCAATAAACATATTTGAACTTGAACTTTCATAGCCATTATTAGTTCATCTCTGGTAATACCTGGTTGATTGTTAATGGGGTTCTGGGAGTTCTTCTACTCCCCAAGCCCGGCCCGAGGCCAGGCTTGACTTGTGAGAGTTTGGTCCACCAGGCTGCTGCTTGGAGCGGCCCGCAGGCCCACATACCCACCACAGCCCGAAAGTAACTGTGCAAGTAACTTCACCACTATTACCTGCTGAAAGTATAAAGTCCTTTCTTGGATCTTAACAAGAATCTAATGACTCTCTCGTTATAGCGGGGAATGAACTAACTTTGGCAGCTTCATTACAGGTATAGGCCGTAACCTGGAGGTCACACCGGGTTACCAGTGACGGTTGTGGCAGGGGGAGGCAGGCGGAGCGTGGCCGGAGGATAGAACATAAGAACAAAGGTAACTGCAGAAGGCCTATTGGCCCATACGAGGCAGCTCCTATTTATAACCACCCAATCCCACTCATATACATCTCCAACCCACGCTTGACACAATTGACGATTGCTTTCAAGCAATGGCTATTGATAGCAATGCCTCGACTTCACTAGCTCCATTGGAAGAGAAACATCTGCAAAGCAAGTGTGGGGCAGCAATCCAGATAACTAAGGGGTTATCTTGAGGTTATCTTGAGATGATTTCGGGGCTTTAGTGTCCCTGTGGCCCGGTCCTCGACCAGGCATCCACTCCCAGGAAGCAGCCCGTGACAGCTGACTAACTTCCAGGTACCTATTTACTGCTAGGTAACAGGGGCATCAGGGTGAAAGAAACTCTGCCCATCGTTTCTCGCCGGCCCCCGGGATCGGACCCTGGACCACAGGATCACGCGTCCAGTGTTCTGTCCGCTCAGCCACCGGAGGAGGGGGGAGTGGGTGGGAGGGAGGGAGTTTTCAGGGGAAAGCGCCAAGCCATTACGACTATATAGCACGGGGGGGGGGGGTGGGAGCAGACCAGGGGCCAGATTCACTAAAGCAGTTACGCAAGTACTTACGAACCTGTACATCTTTCCTCAATCTTTGACGGCTTTGGTTACATTTATTAAACAGTTTACAAGCATAAAAACTTGCCATTCAACTGTTGTTATTGTTATAAACAGCCTCCTGGTGCTTCGGAGTTCATTAACTGTTTAATAATTGTAAACAAAGCCGCCAAAGATTGAGAAAAGATGTACAGGTTCGTAAGTGCTTGCGTAAGTGCTTTCGTGAATCTGGCCCCTGGTCATTTGAGCAACACACGAGCCACGGTGATCTACGTTCAGGTTTTGAGCTGGAAGGGTTTAATTAACGAATGGGAGGGAGGGGAGGTATCAGGAGAAAACGCCAAGCCATTGCGACTGTATAGCACTAGGAAGGGGTCAGGATAAGGATTTGGGATGGGACGGAGGGAAGGAATGGTGGCCAACCGTGGACGGTCGGGGAACAAACGCTAACGAATGGGAGTTAGCCTCGATTGATTGATTGATAAAGATTAAGCCACCCAAGAGGTGGCACGGGCATGAATAGCCCGTAAGTGGTACAATTTTTTTTTTCTCAGTATTCTGAGGTTGCATTTAACCATCAAGCTGTTATCGCGGGGAAGGGGAGACATCTCCAGTCACGCAGGGTGCAGTCGCACCTCCACAGATCTCCAGTATCATCTATTGATACTGGTGATGGCTCAAAAGGGGCCACCATGTACGGGCTATTCATGCCCGTGTCACCTTTTGGGTGGCTTAATCTTCATCTTAATACATTCACAAGGGAGACATCTCCCGTCATGCAGGGTGCATTCCCACCTCCACTGATCTCCAGTATCAGCTCTTGATACTGGTAATGGCTCAAAAGGGCCACCACTTACGGGCTATTCATGCCCGTGCCACCTTTTGGGTGGCTTAATCTTCATCAATCAATCAATCAATCGCGGGGGAGGATACTGCTTCACAGTCTTTATGAGGGTGTCCAGCTGCTGGACACCTTTGTTGACCAGGAGAGTTAGCCTCAGTTAGTTAGCCTAGTTAAGAGTTACGAATGGGAGTTAGCTTCAGTCAGTTAGCCTAGTTAAGAGTTACGAATGGGAGTTAGCCTAGTTAAGAGTTACGAATGGGAGGTAGCCTCAGTCAGTTAGCCTAGTTAAGAGTTACGAATGGGAGTTAGCCTCAGTCAGTTAGCCTAGTTAAGAGTTACGAATGGGAGAATGGGATTTAGAGTCTTTGAGACGTAATATATTTTGTAATATGTACTCTCTGATGACTGTTGAATTAAGGTACATGTATTTTGAGGTATAATATTGTGTCTGCTTACTGAATGGAATTGTGAACCCCTTTAGGTTCGTAAATGAGAGTAGACATAGCCTAAAATAACTGTCCTTTTGGCCTGTATTTTATTATAATAAAATATTTTATTATAATAATATATATAATATATATATATATATATATATATATATATATATATATATATATATATATATATATATATATATATATATATATATATATATATATATATATATATATATATATATATATATATATATATATATATATATATATATATATATATATATATATATATATATATATATATATATATATATATATATATATATATATATATATATATATATATATATATATATATATATATATATATATATATATATATATATATATATATATATATATATATATATATATATATATATATATATATATATATATATTATATATATATTATATAATTATAACATCGCCGTAATCTGGAGGAATGTCCGCTTAACCTAATAAAAACGAATGAAGTCGTAAAAGCTCGCGGATTGAATGAGCACAAAGTGATTCATGTTATCATATGATGATAATCGTAGATCTTCTACGGTAAGGTTCAGATAAATGTTAGAACTTTATGAAGGCATATCAACTTTTCCTTGTGATTTTTTATTGTGGGTACTCGTGCTGGTCTCTGACCAGGCCTCTTGGCTGCTAGTCTGATCCACCAGGCTGTTTGATGCGGCTGCTCGCAGCCTGATGTATGGTCCCAACTAAACCTATCTTTTTACTTGAAATATCTCAAATAAAACTATTGCACACTTGTAGTAAGAAGCTTGAACACCTTGCGCAAGTGTAGAGTGGATTGTTGTATGCCTCTGGTGCCAACGAACAAGTTATGGTGTGGTGAGCCGTTGTATAAGACTGCTTCGAGCCGATCGTATGTTTACGGGCTCACCATAGCCCGTGCTACTTGGAACTTTTTGTTCCCAGTAGCTGAATATAAAACAACAAGAACGCTCGTATGCAACTAGAAAGTGTTATTATAATGTCGGATTTAATCCCATTTCTTAATTTTGTTCCCAACACAATTAACTATACATTTGTAGTTAACTATTCCTCCAGTGTGCATGTTCTGTTGATAGTGTTATTGTTGGCAATGTACATTTCTTTTTTTTTTACAGTTTTTAGTCACAAATCCTTAGGCTTTCCCCAAGTAATATTTTACTTGAAACCTGGTCAATTGATAATGCCTATGGGGAAATGTCAAAGTAGTTTGTATGTAAACTGTTTTTAATATGCAGGCGATGAGTCACAATAACGTGGCTAAAGTATGATGACAAGACCACACACTAGAATGTGAAGGGACGACGACGTTCCGGTCCGTCCTGGACCATTCTCAAGTCGATTGTCGACTTGAGAATGGTCCAGGACGGACCGAAACGTCGTCGTCCCTTCACATTCTAGTGTGTGTTCTTGTCATCATACTGTTTTTAATATTTCGGAAATATTATAGATATGTTTTTAGATTTGTTAGTTACCTTCATTATTCTTTGTTGCAGAGTGCCATAGGAGTGCCATAAGGGAGCCATGCACAACAATCGGCGACGGAAGAAGCGGCCCAGCTATGGTGTCCGAACGGTGGAGATCACGAAGGGCAAGAATGGGTTTGGGTTCACCATCAGTGGACAGGCACCGTGCATCCTCTCCTGCATTGTGCCTGGGTCACCAGCGGAGCGAGCAGGCCTTCGTCCTGGTGACTACCTAATCGCCGTCAACAGCCAGAATGTTAGCAAGGCTCCTCACGATGATGTGGCTCGTCTCATTGGCCTCTCGAAGCTCCTTAAACTGCAGATTGCCGAGAACTACTACTCTGACAGCTCCGATGATGAATTCGTGACGGTGAATCGACCCAAACCCAAGTATCCCAATCGGTTAAGGCACAAGAACCAGCAGACTCGAGCTGAGAAGGTAGTCCGCGACTTGCAGAGTGGAGCCATCTTCAGCGAGCACACAGCCATCCACTTGGGTGAAGCAGCACTCCTCTCTGACCGTGATGCCTGGCCCGAGTCTGCCTTCCCGCCAAAGGCGCCCCTCACTCCTACGCCAAAGGGGCTCACGGTATCTGCTTCGGTGTCCCCTGTGCCTGAGGGCCTCGGAGAGAGGGATGGAGGTCCTCCGACGGCACCCTCGACGTCACCGACGCGGCTGAGGCCAGACCAGATTCATCTTGTAATGGCTGAAGCTCGACAAGTGACTCGGACACCTCGGCCTGTCAAAGAGCCCCAACACCCACCGCGACCCAGACATGTAGTCAAGAAAAAGGAAAAGTCACCGAAGGCCAAACTCAGACATCATCCGCAGAATCTCCCACCTGACGCAGTCCAGCAACAGTTGCCAGCGCCACACCCACATCACCATCAACAGCAACAACAACAACATCTTCAGCAGCAGCAACAGCAGCATCTTCAGCAGCAGCAGCAGCAACAGCAACAACAGCAGCAACATCTTCAGCAGCAACACATTCAACAGCAGCAGCAACATTTGCAACATCAACAACAGCAACACTTGCAACAACAGCATCTTCAACAGCAGCAGCAGCATACTCAGCAACAGCTTCTCCACCAGCAACAGTTACACCAACAACAGCAGACTCAGAGACAACAATCTCCTGTGCAACAGCAGATGCAGCAGCATTCTGGCATGTGGGTGGAGCTACCCAGTGGCTCTGGGATGGAGGCATACAACGTATTAACTGAACAAGAAATCAACAAGTTATTGTATCCGACTTTAGCAGAACTGCAGCAGCAGGCAGCACCCAATGACCTCGGGGAGGCCCTATACCGTGCCGTGGTGGGTTATCTTGGCACCATTGAGATGCCCAAAGAGCCTCAAGGAGGATCCCGTCTCACTGCCATTCGAAATTGTATCAGACGCCTCCGGATTGAGAAGAAAGTTCACACCTTGGTTTTAATGTCGGTGTTTACAGAGCGTGTGGTGCTAACCAACCCGCATGGCCTCACGCTTGCCCAGTACCCCGCTGAGAGAATAACGTTTTGTGGTGTGTATGCCGACGATAAAAAGTTCTTTGGTCTTGTTACTGTCCATGGTGCATCAGGCGACGAACTGAGTGATGGCAGTCAAGACGGTGGAAGTGTTTCGTCTTCGTGTCATGTGTTCATGGTAGATCCTCGCATGGTACAGCATTCCGATCATGCGAGGAGAGCCAAAAACTTCCGTCTGGAATGCACTCCACACCCAGAAGCCCACCATTGCCAAGAGTTTCCGGACTCGGCAGACCCAATCTTGCACGCTATCATGAGCCTGTATCGAAATCGGGTGGGGTTCCACCTGGACACGGGCGCTCCAGGCCTGATCGACGTGGAGGCTCAGATGTCGCCCCAGCACTCCAACACTTCTTCCAACTCCTCCAACTCTGACTCTGGAATTGGGTTTCGAGATGATGGCAGCCACCATTATCATCATAGCGACCGCGTCTTCGTCGTCGAAGTTGACGACAACCAGCGGATGCGAATACAGAACTTTCAGTTAGTTAGTAATCTCCGTGCCAACCTCAATGAAAACCTGCGAGCTAATTTAGAAAACCATCGTGTGAATATGGACAACCACAGAGGGAATATGGAGAATCACAGGGCTCTTGACAACCATAGAGCAAATATAGAAAACCTCAGAGGAAATATGGATAATCATAGAGCAAACTTGGACAATCTCAGGGCAAATTTGGATAACCACAGAGTGAGCTCTACTGACAATTTTCGAGCAAACTTAGAAAGCCATAGAGTGCATCTGGACAATCACCGAGGCAATATAAGTGGTGGATATGGCAACAATGTGAACGCTACAGTGGGTGACACTATACCTAGTGGTCTAGGCCCCTCCGTGCTACGTGCCAATATTAATGACTTCAGTTTCTCGAGTGCCAATAATCTGCGTGCCATTGCAAACGACAAATTACTCGTTAATTCTAGTGACAACAGTAGTAGTAATAAATTGCTGGATAATGTGCGAGCTAATGTTAATGATCATTTAAGAGTGAGTGTGACGGACAAGGTGCTAGGGAACATAGACAATCTGCGTGTGAGTGTGAGTGACGCCAAGCGACTAAGTGACCTCCGAGCTAGTCTTGCTGAGAGTCGGGCCAGTCTGGGCGACGGCCGCACCAGCATCACCGACGACCTGCGGGCGGCGCTCGAGGATGACATGCGAGCCAATTTGGGGGAAGGTCGGTTAAGTGTGGTGGATGGACGCACCAGTATCACCGACGACATGCGTATGGCCCGGGATAGAGGCGTCACTAAAACTCCTGTGGCCGACTGTGCAAGTACGCCAGAGTCGGGACGGCTGACCGTTAGAGCTATGCCGGATCCTGTGGGCTTTGAGCGGTCACCGGGGTTTTTGGTATCTAGTGACTCGCCGATTCACGTTGCCTCTATGAGGCATTCCATGCATAAATATCTCCAGCATAAGCAAGAACATTTAGTGAAGGTCTCGCAGAAAATTAATCGGCGTGAGTCTGACACTGGTGGCATCCATCCCTTGAGTGTTCGAGCCTTCTCACCAGCCACCACCAAGGCCCCAACACCCACCGTCACCTCTGTGGCACAGGACACCCTCGATCTGGAGTTGTCTCTGAAACTGTCACCAAAGGTTTTTGGAGTTCCTCAGTTACCATTAGGTACAGGTTTGTCACCCTTGCGGCCTCGAGCGCCATCAGAGAGGTCATACACGCGTTCTCTGGAGGACCTGCGGGACTCTTCCACCAGTGATGGAGTTAACGTACCTCTGGGTAGTGGAGGGTGCGGCAGCAGCTTTCGTGACGGGTCTGAGAGCGACCACGGGCTGGACCGGCTGCGGCACGTGCCGCTCACGCCACTGGCGAGGCTCCTTCACGCTTCTGAGAACAACCTCACACGTTATGGTCACATCTACCCCTCTGAGCACCACCGCGGTGCCTTCCGTGCTGTTCAGCCACGCACCCATCGCGAGTCCTCAACCTCCGCCCTTGGTGTGGGTGTTGTGCCTCGAATGGGAGGCCTGGTGGGTGTTGGTGTACCTCTGGACTCCGGCGACGAGCACACGGAGACGACGGAGAACACGGGCGAGCAAGAGGGCAGTCAGGACGTGCACCCACCCACTCAGGACGAGTTCTCCCACGACTCTGACTCGGAACAGGTGAGTACCCAGTGCCAACTTTTAGCAGGTATCATACGAACACTTACGACACTAGCCTAATGGCTGAGTTTGCAGCCCGTCCTCCAAAAATGGGGTGGTAAATGTAAGAAGACAAATAGTTCAATTATGTACTATTCATAGCAGTTAGGAATTGTACTTATTTTCACTTAGTATTAAATCGTACTGTCAGATATATTGTGAATATTTGAGTTTACCTGAAAAACTGAAAAGAAAACCACAACCTCACCTAACCGTCATAGTTTTTGAAGATAATAATTTTATTGCTTCTTAATTACAATTATTACTTAACCTATAGCTATATTGATATTACAGTTTTATAAAACTAATAAAACAAAACTAAAATATATCAATAAATTGTAAAGTAACTCAGGATATTTTACAATTTTGTATGAAGTCTATATTGTTTAATTAACCTGAAAAAGAAATTCCTGATATTTAAAACTTGTGTATCGCAAATCGAAATTGAAAACGTCATCCTAAAATTCTGAGTGACTTAACAGAAAACGAGAATTATTAAAGCGGGGGAGGGAGTTGGGTCAATGTAACAGCCCCATAAGTGCAATTATGCACTGCTTATTACAGTAAGAAAGTGTACTTATTACACTTAGTATTAAATCGTACTGTCAATTCGGAGGATGGGTTGGAGTTTGTCTCTGCTTCCAATGTATATTCGTGTTTAAGTATTCAACACATTTTAATATGACGTTTATGAATGTCATTATGTAAATCATTATGTAAAAACTAGGCCGAAGACTTCCATAGGACTTGACAACGACGAATCTGCTCGGCGTTGTATTCACAAAATAGACTGAGGAAGGTTAATACTTTTTTGAAACTGGGGAGAGTTGGTGTTGAAAGACTGGGGGATGATCGTGGAGGTTGAAATTGAAATAAGTTTATTGAGGTAAAATACACAAAGGGATGAGGTAGCTCAAGCTATTCTCACCCCGTTCAGTACATCGTGTTAATACATACATAGACACACATCACAAGTAATAAACGTATTACCGAACATTCTGAGAGATAAACATATACATTTCCTCCTTTACACAAGTAATCGTGGAGGTTGGTGTGGTACAACCTTGAGTGGTACTGGCACGTCTCTGTTGACACTCGAAGTGTACCAGTACCACCATTGTCACCGATACCGTCTTATTAACCAATACATTTGCTGGTGTTTATCACACCAGCAAATGTTTCCATCTGTGTTAAAAAGAAGTATAGAAGTATCGGCGGAAGTTTGACCGAATCTGCTACTGCAAAAATAGGCCTATACCGCCTATTTTTGACCAGTGGGGATGTCTGGTTAGTTTCCATAGCAAACATCGCCTACAATTTACCCTGACTGCCTTCTTATTAATAACAAAACGTTCCGGGTAAGTTCTACAAGGGAGAAATTGCCAAGCCATTACGACTATATAGCACAGGGAAGGGGTCAGGATAAGGATTTGGGATGGGACAGGGGGGAAGGAATGGGGCCTAATCACTTTTTTGGACGGTCGGGGATTGAACGCCGACCTGCATGAAGCGAGACCGTCGCTCTACCGTCCAGCCCAAGTGGTTGGGCAAGTTCTACGAACTGTAATATAAGATGAGGGTCCCGGTAGTACAGTCGGGTTCGTTCTCGACGCACATTCGATAATTCCGGGTTCGAATCTAAACGGGACATAAATGGTTGGACACATTACCTTTCACCTGATGCGTCTGTTCACTTGGCAGTAAGTAGGTACTCAGGAGTTAGTCAGCTTGTTGTGGGGTTGCATCCTGGGGGGGGGAGGGGATCTCGATATAAGTATAACGTGTATAAATACTCGGGCTTCCTGTCACAATGAATTATTATTATTATTATTATTATTATTATTATTATTATTATTATTATTATTTAGATGTCTTTAAATATATCAAGCCCAACCCATCCCGTCCTCACACTAGGCTGGTTAAAGCAGCGGCCGTCCTCTCTTGACACATTCATCAATTTTAACATACTGTGTATTCAAAATTGGTGTGTGTTCTCATATATAAATTATTATTCTTATACATACAAATTTTATGTATAGGTATGCGTAGGTTAGGTTAGGTGGTTAGGTTCTGTTGGCGATTATTTGTATTTGAAGTAGGTGGGTGAAGCATTTATAGAATTGTGGTTCGAACAGAGGACATGGGCGAAGCACTTGTTTCGGAAGTGTTCGGAGGTCAGCAGTTGCGAGTCATGTGTAAACTGTTTTTCATTCATAAACCAACCCGTCATCGCACACAAAAATCCAAGCTCGTTAATCCAGCCGCCAAACCCCCTGTTTATGAATGAAAAGCGGTTTACACACTAATTCTTATGTTCTATTACTTGATATCCTCAGGGATTTTTTTGTGTCATAGACAACCAGACAATTTAACAATTTGTTGTTAAATTGTCTGCTTGGTCCAACAGGCTGTTGCTTGGAGCGGCCCACATATCCACCTCTGCCCGGTTGGTCGTGCATTTCTTGAAGAAAACTCTCTAGTTTTCTCGTGAAAACGTCGTTAAAAGGGTCAATGTAATCCAAAAACGAATAATTGGTTAATGGCTAGATTAAAGGTATCAAAATTATAATTGAAATTGAAATAAGTTTATTGAGGTAAAATACACACAAAGGGATGAGGTAGCTCAAGCTATTCTCACCCCGTTCAGTACATCGTGTTCATACATACATAGACACACATCACAAACAATAAACATATTACCAAACATTCTGAGAGATAAACATATACATTTCCTCCTCTACACAAGTAGTATGGTATCAGACGTACACACAAATACTTTGATGACTTAAGTATACTGTATAGACAATTTGCAAGAGACCTGCAGATAATTCAACAAAAGATTACAGTACACACAGAAATCACAATAGCGTGATGTATCAAATGAACAAATCGAATTCAGTAGAATTAAATTCGGTTGAATTTCTGGTTGCAATTCTTATCCATGTCGTAGCTCAGTCGATTAAGGCAGCGTCTGGGATGCTCTCAGACGCAGGTTCGAATCCTAGTCACGGCCCTTGTGGATTCATTCAAAAGATTAGTCTTGGTGCAAAATTCTCCAGAATATCATCAATCTTTCCGTTGAAAATTATGATTGTATTTCATCTTTGTTATTGAGTGTGTTGCGTGCAGTTATGTTGTGTGTGAGGTTATCGTCCAAGTGATTCACTGGCAGATTGTGTGACGTTTCAAGGACACCTTGAAACACCCAACGGGAGCCGGTCGGCCGAGCGGACAGCACGCTGGACTTGTGATCCTGTGGTCCCGGGTTCCATCCCGGGCGCCGGCGAGAAACAATGGGCAGAGTTTCTTTCACCCTATGCCCCTGTTACCTAGCAGTAAAATAGGTACCTGGGTGTTAGTCAGCTGTCACGGGCTGCTTCCTGGGGGTGGAGGCCTGGTCGAGGACCGGGCCGCGGGGACACTAAAAAGCCCCGAAATCATCTCAAGATAACCTCAAGATAACCACCCTCCGCAGCACAGCAACCTAAATATATTTACTATTTAGCGATCCATTTCATTACTTTGTTTCAGATACTGTAAATTGTAGATGTTATTACAAACTCTCCGAGTGAATAATTACGACGATCAAATGTTTTGATACGAAAGAGCTCGATACGGCTCATGAACCTGAATTCCACCGCCAGTTACTTCAAAAATTCATCTGATACTAAAGAAAAAAAGAAAAAATTCCCACGTCAATATTTGGCACTTGCGCTCTCTTCAGTATGATCTTCCTGCATAAGACGTGTCTTTCCCCCCCCCCCCGAATCTACAGAATATGATCCAACACTTTCTCTCACCCCACAATAAGAGGTCAAATTCTGTGCACT